ACAAGCGTAATCCATCCACGAACGAGTCGGGAGATGGTGAGCGGCGGACGACGACAGTGAGCCCCGGTGAGGTGATAAACCCCATTACGGTGATTTTAAACCGTTTTAATCGGTTCGTGCGTTGCGCGGTGTTGGGAAGCTCCGACCGTCCGCTCCTGCGTGCGCAGCCTCGTCGCAGCACTGCACTGGGAAGTCCAGCGCACTGCGTAGATGTTGTGTGCGCACCGAAGGAGATCGTAGTTGTAAAGTGGGTTACTCTGGTGTTAAAGACAAAGCAGTGCTCTTTACTCTTTTAAAAAATACAATGTTAATTTCGCCAACAGTTATTAGTTACACTACTAGGTACATTACTTTTTCGCTACTAATTAATGTAATTTTACACAAAAATCAGACTTTGAGTATTCAAAATCCAGTTTTGTTTGTAATGCAAGTAAAGAGTTGTGTTCCTTCGAACTACACAACTAGAAAATTGTGGCAATATATATTTATCTACGGGTTTTTTTATCAAAGTTTTATATCTGCATATCATATTTTGATTCGACTGTACAGATGCCCTCTCCTATTCCTGTTGTGCTATGTGTCATTGTAATGTCATTTAATTTTGATGCAAATCCAAATGGCAAATAAAGTCTAAGTCTAAGTTTCCATCTTCCAAACTAGTTTCCTCCACGATTACAATCCCAGGATGTGATTACATTGTTGGATATCCTATTACAGTACAGTAATAACAGTAATATTGTAGCCGATTGTTTTGGAGGAGGGTAACTGTAAAATGATTACTGAAATGTATTTGTAATTAGTTCCACTACTAGCTACTGGGGAAAGAAATATTATTACTGTAATAATATTACTATTATAATATTACTATTACTGTAATAATATCACTAGCAATTAGTTACTTCACAACATTGGCCACAAAGCATCTAAAGTTTAAAAGATATAAATTGAATTCAGATGTTTTATTCTACAAAAGTAATATATGTGTTTGAGTTAGAGGGAAAAAAAGTTAGTTAAAAATGTAGTCAGTAATCTAATCCATGTATCACAATATAAACGTAAAGTAACTTGACTACTTTGTGTTACTTTTGGATTAACTCAATACCAAATATGTAAATAAGGACAAGAGAAGTATTGATACGTGTGTATAATAAGTGTATTTAATAAAACAACTGAACAATGTGACCTTTGAAAAGAAGAAGAAAAATAATTTTTAGCATCAAAAATGTTTGTTTTTGTATTTTAAAATTGTAATCCTGCTAAATAATCCCCATTTTTACTAAATGTAAATACAATCTCATTATGTCTTTTTTGCATCCTGATTACAGTTACATGTAATCTGTTACTCATTTTTTCAACATCAGCCCTAGTTGCTCATGTAGGATTAGTGTGATTTATGTTTATTATTTAAAAGTGTCTGATTATTAAAGATACACTTCTGCCACAGTTATACTCGTAAAATGTTAACATCCGAGTGACCTATTTTTAAACTTCAGAACTTGAGGCGGAGGAGACGTATTTGACGGTACACACCACACTCCATGTTGTTCTTTCCCTGCTCACTTATTAATAATTCAAGAGCAAAGACCGAATAACATCAACCATCAGGGATTGGACGTATTATGTTTATCCTCAATATTATCACTGATTATCACAGATGAGAAAATGGTACCTTGTATGAAAGGGTATCACCAGCATGTGTAACATTTTTACAACTGATGTAAATAATGTAATCAGGTTGCAAAAAAGCAGCATAGATACGATAGTGTAGTATTAATTACCAATCCTGATAGTAATAAAATGGGGATTATTGAGAATGCAGCTGATTTACATATCTTTCACAGGACATCATAAACAAACAGTATGTTTATGAAGCTTAAAAGTAATTTATTTTAAGTCTGTCTTCTATCCATGTTTTATCATAAAGGTCACTAGGATTTCTGAGAATAGATAAGTTGAGGTTCGTCATTTGGAGTTAAAATCCATCAACCGCTTTATTATATTACGCGTCAGGCACGTATTCAAGAATAATCTCATCTCTTTGTCCTAATCATTTTGGGAACCACATTGTATGGTAATTGGTTAAAGATTCCAAAAGTATCACAAGTTAAGTGTATCAAATTAATCTATTTAACATTGTTATATTGTTATATAGAGATACACCTGGTCCTAAAGTTTTCACTGCCTCTACGAGTTTGCATTTAGACTTATATCTCAACCTCTAGTTCCCTCTATCTAACTCACATCATTCTACCCACATTACTAATTCAACGTTGTATGTAGATCCACAAACCCTTCGCGCGACTCACCTCTTTATATCCACTATAAACTTTTTACGACTACTTTGTGAGCACAATATGGTGTGGAACTAATAACCACTAAGGACGCTTAGAGAACCATGTCAGATTATACAGTAAAATACTGAGGACTAACTGAATTTTCTGACTTTTAGTATAAATTAAGGTTACATAATAATTATATTGGATCCTTATCCCCTAGGTAGCTTATGCTCACTGAAATTATACAAAATATCACATTAAGTGTCACGTAAGTTATATTGTTATTCGAGGTAGTACCTCTCTCTCCTCAAAGACACAATTCGGCTACATAGTTATTTTTAAGGTATATCAACAAAACTGTTATTGCTGATGCATGTAAACCACATAAGGTACCCCTAGATAATCTCAACAATGTAAAACCTTATAATCATTCCTAGGGAGTCCTGTTCCTATCGAGCGTATGGAAAGCACAGTGTTTGGAAGGGAAACTTATATAACGACTTAGATCTATATTCGCCATAAAGTGATTTGCATCCACCAATATATTATTTTGCACATTACAATTAATTCATTGGCCACCGACACTACAGGAGAGACCGGTTATGTAGCGAGGGTATTGATAGGTCAGTGTTCGAACAAAAGCAGCTCAGCCTCCTGTCACAAGATATCACAGTAACTAGATGTTATGAATATAAAAAAACCCGTAAGAATCAATTTAGTAATACCATTACAATGTATTTATGCAAGCAATTTTATGTTGTGTAGTTGAAAACACGAGACTCATACTTGGGATGATGCCATATAACAAACTAAAACTGGATTGTTAATCATCACTAAGTCTGATTTTTGGTGTGTACCCCTAGAAAACCAATATATATATCTTATTATTAATTGAAAGTAGCGAGAAAAGATTATCTGTAATGACCAATGGAGAAGATCGGTTAGAAATCCAAAATAAGACTGTGGCACGATATACAAAAAAAACCAAACTTTCAACACCTGGGGGGGTCTTTTTTTCAACACACAGACAACCCTCGTTAAAACTAGTTCAGCCCG